GAGTATCCATCTGGGACTGCGATGCTGACTCCGAACGTAGTTGGTGAACGGAGATGAAGGTAGATCAGGGAAAAGCCAGATCGATAAATTAGCTCTCTTTCATGCAAGACGCCTATGACCTATGAACACTCGTGCTTTCCTTCCTCTATATGCTCGCGGTTTTCATCTGAGTGATAAAATGCGTCTCCTTGTAGGGCGTGTCATCGACAGTGTTAGCTTGCGGCCGAGCATGGTATGATTATGCGTTACGTCCCCGTCTGACTCACCGCGCTCTACACTCCAGGTATACATCCATTGTATCGCGTGAGGCCAAAGAGCCAAAGAGTCAAGACTATGCAAACAACTCAATGTGACGTGCAGGACGTCCACGCCACTCAAAGCGACTTTGTCGCTGTTCGAGCATGTGACCTTGGTCGACCCAAGCGTCTCGCCACCCGACGCATCCTTAAAACCCGCGCGGCCACAGCTCCTCTCCTCTCACCACGACCGCAACCACCACTCCCGCAGGCCCCATCGTCTGCTATTCATCATCTCTCCTGCTCAGTCAAACCCCGCTTCAGCACGTTTGTAGTCAACCTGACCCCGTCAACGCCTCCTTGCATCACGATGGCAGCCACTTCCTCTTTATTCACGCTTCCAACTATCTCGTCCCTCGCAGCTGTCCAACTGGTTGGTTCAGCCCAATGCCCTGCAGATTCTCCAAGCCCTATCGACCGCGGAACTCCGGGCGTGCGGCGCAATACTCACCTGTGGGCAACGAGGACCGACCGATACACTGGCCTCCCCATGGAACCACCATTCATATATATTCGCATCATGCCGTCTCCATCGTCCAGCACCTCTTATTTGACTACCGCTTCCTCGTCGTCGCTGGAGAGCATCAACACCGTCGACTTGGCTCTGGTGGTTACGGGCGGCCGGTTGTCGAACTATCCGGCCACGAAGTCGGTGCGTCATTGCACCGGAGTTCCTGCCATCTGGTGGTGCTGATCTACAGTATCTACAGTCTCACTGGCTCGAGGCTGAAGACAGTCACCGCTCTCGGGATGACGTCTGTGCTGACCTTCAGTCCGAAGGGTGCTCGAAGCGGTCTTGCATACTTGCTGACGAGCAGGAGTCTTCCAACAAAGACGACCCTGTCCCCTCGAAGAACGAAGATATAGATCGTGACACGGTGCGCACAAGTCATCTGGTCTAAGGCAGGATTCGGCTGACGAAGTGCGGTAGATGGCCGTCAGTTCAGAGGTCTGCAAGCCGGCTGCCGACGGCGTTATCCTAAGGAACCCTGTCGACTTCATGGATTTCTCCTTCCTCAGTCTCGGCGACGATGAGAGTGAAGTCGCGGACATAAAGAGTCGCTCCAGTCTCGACTCGAGCATCCCCCCAACCCCTGCTTCCGCGGTTCCCTCCGAATATAAGACGCCGTTGACGTCGCGTCCGCAGACACCCTCTCATACGACAGACCCTGCGTCTGCTGCCACGGTGTTCGTCACCGCGCCAAGCTCCCCGACGCACGCCGACACGCACGAGGCTGGCCCCATGATCCTTGGGCAGCTGGTTCCAATGCCAACTGTTGTGTGTTCGGAGGCAAAGCAGTACTATCCGCTGTGGTCTGCCTGCGACATGTGGACGTCGGTGTGGTGCTCCTGGACTCTCATTTGTTGATAACACTTCTGTTATCCGATACAAGTCTTGCAATGTATGCGTACCGTCTCTCCAGCTCCGTATATTGCCCGCAAATTGACCTTCTCCTGGTGCTGTACCGCTGTTGTTCACTCAAGGATGGACACCGTGCTCCGCTGGAAAATAGTCAATTGTCCGCTGGGGAGCAAAAGGTCAAAAGGTCAAACGGTCATGACGATGACCACCGCAGGGGTCGAACCTGCAATCTCCTGATTACAAGGAACACATCGTAGTCAGACGCGTTGCCATTACGCCAGGCGGCCACATCGAATTGTTCCAGCTACGCTTACATGATCAGGGTGGCGCTCGGGAGACAGTCTACAACACACTGTCAAGTTGGTGTACATAAAAGAATGACGGCGACACATTGTATACTTATCAGACGATTCGCTCAGTATCGAGAAGTATCATAGACTCGAGCACTAGTGCAAAGCTATCACACCATCATCTCGAGCTCGACCTGGTAGTAGAGCTTGGTAAGTATGTTCAGTGAGACACGAAGTAGCACTCTCACCTCTGAAACCGCCTTGTCAACCGCCGCTGCATACTTCTGGAGGAAGTCGATGATCCATTCAACCTTGCTATCTCTGGTGCACCGCGGCGGCGACGGAGAAGCCACTGTCGTGGGAGCCTGGGCAAGCGCAGAGCAAGCAGGTGACTCGATCGGACTCATCATGGTCTCACTGCAGGAGGTTCCATCGAACATCGTAGTCAACAGGATCGTGGCCAATATGATGTGCGAGGTGAGGATGTTTGTAGAGGACTTCGTAGCCAAGTCAATTTTGACCGCGTTCAGGTGATGGGAAAGCCAGAAGGGTGGGGTACTCGTGGACACCGTGGTGGGGTACCGAAGGTGACAGTTGCTGGGGACCGGACACCGCCGTCCGGGTAGATCGCTCAGCTGGAAGTCTGCCGTTGCAGCCTTGCGGCACGCTTGTGCGTACGAGATGAGATGACGGTAAGGGACGCTGCTCGCGGCTTCCATCTCCGGTACGTAGGCATTATCCATGTCACCAGGGGAGAGAGTGGTCACCAGCTGTAGCGCACACGCTTTGGCCTCCGCTTGCCATCCACACTGCACTGCTGCGAAGTAGAAGCGAAGCGGCGCTCCCTTCGAGTACTCGGACCACGACTTGAGCAGGGTCTGCTCGACTTTGCGGAACTGATATCTGTGAGCGGCAAACGCCACATCCAGGTAGACTTCAGCTGATGCGATGTGTGGATGCTCCGCCGGGTAGCACATCCGGAGGAGGACATCGAGGACGCCACTGTCCTCCGACACCAGGTGAACAGCCCGATGCTCAATGGCCTGATTCCGTTCTTCGGACATGGTTCTCTCCTGCACCAGAGTGTCGAAGAATGTCGGAGATGCGAAGGTAATGATGGTTCGGTGCACGAAGAAGTCGACAGAGTCGGTCGTGCGGAGGATGACATCTGCAGCCGTCGATCGACGTGAACGGGTACTGCGGGGTGAAGGGTGTCGCGTTCCGGACAGGTGGTTTTCGCAATGGCGATCTTCGGCATAGAGGGAGAATCCCATTGAAGTTGACCGAATGACGGGGCTCGGAGGCCTTATTCTTGTAACGCCTAGTGACTTGCAAGTCCCGGCTCGGCCTGAAGCCCGGGGCTTTGGCCCGGCTTCAGACGGCCGGGGCTTGGTCGAACCTCAAGCCGGGCCCCCAGGACGGCTCAGGCCAAGCCCGGGGCTTGGCCCGGCCTGAGCCGCGGCTTCTGTTGAGTGAGAACTCACCTCGAAAACTGTGAACTGGGGAGCTTCGGAGGGTTCTACAGATGGTTATACAGGTATTCTGAGGTGAAACTCATGTTACTCACCGTGCGCAGGAGCCCTAGGATGATATGAGCGATCAGACATATGAGTCTGAGTGAAAGGGCAAGTCCTGTGACCCGTTGAGAGCCGCGAGGAGCAGCGTAACTGGAAGATATAAGTGGTTAGTCCGTGAATGCTGGGTATTTCATCGCTTCTGACGCACCTTGACAGCCAAAGTAAGACCTGCATGGCATGGATGAGCAGCGCGTTTAAGCCCCGGCCTGACGGCTCGGCTCGGGCTTCACATATCCTTGGGCCGAGCCGTCAGGCCGTCCAAAGCCCTATCCAAAGCCCGGCTCGTCCCGGCCTGCACGAGGGCTCGGCCTCACGGCTTGACGGCCTGAGGCCGGGACTTGCAAGTCACTAGTAACGCCTTCGAGTGCGGCCGAGCTTCTGCAGACGATAGTAGGCACCAGCACTGATCTCGTCGAGAAGTTCGGGGAAGAGCCCGACCATAGTACCTGCCAGAGCGACATTCTCGGCAGCGACCTTTGCCTCCTCCTCCCATTCCCAGAGGCAAGCTATGACGAAGACATGTAGAGGATCTTTGTCCATGAAGCGTGGCTGTCGTAACTCCCTCTTCATTGCATGTACGACCATGGGAGCGTCGTACTTGAACCCAGTCGTGACGACCTTCCGGAGCAGGAGCAGAGTCGGTACCTCGGGATCGATGAGAGGGTAGCAGATACGAAGGTACAGGTCGATCGTTTCACTGTCCTCGGGGATCGATATGTCTGGAATGTTGGGATTGGATAGAAGTGCGGACGGTTTGGGAATCGAGAACATGCCCTCGAACACGGAAGAGGCCATGGAGAGAATCAGGCGGTGCACGCGAAACTCGACGCCGTCGCTAGTGCGCATTATGAAGTCGGCGTCGCTCCTATCGAACGGAGCTGCAGCCATCTTGCCTGCATATTCTTCCGACATCTGTTCAGCACTAGTTCCACTGACGAACTGCGCAAATGAAGTTGAACCAGATCAGTCACCGTTCTCAGGCCATCAACACTTGGAGCTATGAAACACCAGAGAGATGTCCCAAGATTCACGTACCGTGGCGGATTATTCGGTCACCACAATTGCACGGGTGACGGTTGGGTGACGGTCGTGCGCACAGGAATGTGGGGATATCCTAGCCGATTTCAGCCACTTCAGCTTGCACCAGAGCCAGAGGGGCTTACTTAGCACTGAGCAGAACGCAGAGGAAGTAGTATCGATGCTGGTACGTTCAGAGCAACAGGTGAGTGGGATAGGATGCAATCAGTGATGGGCACGGTCCTCGTGCATGGTGTGTTGATGGTGTGTGGCCGTGTGCTGCGGTAATCGAAAACAAAGCCGCCAACGCGAGGCATCCCATCATTCTGCAAGAGCGTACAACACGTCCAGGGCATGAGCGAAGAAATGCACAGTACACAGTAGAGCTCAATAGCAGCATGAATGACGCGAGCAAGACACGAGCGGAAATCGGGGCCAAATGGGGCAAAAACATACATGACCACCGCAGGGGTCGAACCTGCAATCTCCTGATTACTGGAAATTCGCGCGTTCCATATCGTAGTCAGACGCGTTGCCATTACGCCAGGCGGCCGATAGAAACATGGCCTCCTGTCGGAATCTCGGGGCCAGCGGCTTAGCTCGCATCATCCGCCCCGCATTGTGGGTTCTGTGCTCCAGTGCTGCCGTAGGGAAGGGAAGGGTGCAATGATAGGATGGCAAAGCTGTAGTCGGCGCTCACTTCGAGGAGGACGGTCTTGGCTATCACCGAGGCGGCGCGAGGTGCTCGACGCAGGCCGGCGTGTCCTGGAGGATGTGCGAGCAGAGGCTCGCTCGTGCTTGAGTCGCTGCAGGATGGTCCCAAGATGGTCCGCTGGCTTCGTTGATATTGACTGTACTTTTCCAGGCCGAATACTGTACGACCGTGCCGTCGAAGTCGGGCGCCGCCGCATGAACGGACGTTCCTCAACTGCCACCCAGGTCACGTCTTCCAGACGAAACGAGGGCGCGAAAGAGTAAGCGAGCAACGACACTGCGCTGAAGAACCGCAATGAAAGAGCGCCTTTCTCATGGCCGCGCCGCGTGGACCAGCGTACTTGCTTCACGACCGCTACGAGGACCTCGCGGATGTCCGGCAGGGACTCTATGCGAAGGTTCGGTACTGGGTAGCAGATGCGCAGAAAGGTGTCGAGCGTCTCGCTGGCCGCGGAGCCGTCCACTGCTGGCTTGGTGCCCGAGGTGCTTGGGGACCGGGGCCTGGGGACCAGTAGTATATCAATGACATGGCAGGGCGGCCCTACATAGGAGGAGGAGGAGGATGCGATGGACGTGGAACTCGACGCCATTGCTATGAGGTCAGTGTTCCCTCACAAACGGAGCGGCAGGCCGTCCTAGATACACCATAGTCAGTCATGATTCGCGGCCCAATTCCATGAACCAGCGCACCTTTCAACGCAACCAGCTGAATTCAAAGCAGGTGATCAAGTTTCGACAACCTCGCCCCGAGGACATGCCACGAGCGGTAGCCGGACAAGGCCTCTTGCAGCCACGCAAACAAGTGAAGCGATGAAGAACCAGTAGATAGGAGGTCGCCAATCAGTAGAGTATATACACCAGAAGTACATCTATACAAACAACCGAAACCACGGGAGAGAGTCAAGAGTCACGAACGGGATAATGAGGGGTAGCTAGCGCGAAGAGCCTATAGAGCCTATGGGATACACGGACGCATGCACGGAGAGCGAGAGAAGGACGACGTCACGACCACTACTACTACTACTGCGCGTATTCGGTGCGGCTATACGATACGGGTACGGGGGTACGGGTACGGGTACGGGTACGGGTACGGTGCGTGATGGTGATGGTGACGAGGGAGAATCATGGGCCGGGACACAAAACCACGAGCGACACCAGAAGAAAGCCAACGACACAGGACCGGATGACCAAACAGGAACGCACGAGAAGCGAATGCGGATGGGGGCGATGGCGATGGCGGGTAGGGATGGTGGGAGGATGGCGGGCGCCGAGAGTGGGGTGCGGAGGGTAGAGGAGAGGGGAGGGGAGGAGCAGTAAGTGACGAAAGTCCAAAAAACACAACACGATGCGAATCTGCCACTGTGCAGGGTGCGGGGAATACAGTATATATGTAAGCGCTCCTGCAGGGAGCGCAAAGCGTGCCGCGGGGAATAAGAGATAAAAGTAAGAAGATGCGGAGTGTATGGACAATGTGACAGATGAACAGCGCGCCTCGCGGGGCGATTATGTGCAAGAAACACGGGTAGTAAGCATATAATGTGAACAAAAAGCAGATGTTGCACCAAGAAAGCTTTGGATGTGGATGTGGAACGCGAGATGATAAACAGCGGCCATACGCATATGTGAATAAATGACGGATGAATGACGCGGATCATGGGTGGATGAGGGGCGTTCGGGGATGTAGAAGCTCGTCGTCGGCGATGGATGGTGAGTGAGGAACGCTCACGGCGAGGAAGCAGCTGGGGGGTTTGGGTTCCATATCGAACCCAAAAACCCCCGTGCAGACTGCACGATCTCGGCGGCACGATTGACCAACGTGCCCGCCTGCTCCTGCATCCCATCAAAAGACACCCTCTGGGCGCGCGTCGGATGCCTCGAGCCTGGCGTCCTCGTGGGCGACTCCGGGGACGGGGACGCGACGCCAGAATCCGCGGTCGAAGCCTCAACGGAGCCATTCGAAGACGTCCGCGATGCCGACGCTGGCGGTTCGTGCGAAGCCGAGATGGGCGACGAGATAGGCTCAGCCTTCTGCGCCGGGGGAACAGGCATCCGGAACGCGGCCACGGGCGAATTCGCGGGAGTGGGGTGCCTCGACCGCTGCTCCTCCTCTTCCTCGATCTCCTCCGGAATTGGCGACGGGATAGGGAACGGCGGCATGGGGGTCTTTGCTGCTGGCGCGTGCACGGCTGATCTTGACCGCTCCGCATGTTCCTGCTGTCCTTGCTGCGCCTGCTGCTGTGCGACACTCGGCCCAACGGTCGACACGCTCGCCGTCTCGGTCGAAGACCCGGACACCGAGGAAGGCGGGGACGGTATCCGACCAGACTTCTCCAGGATCGACTCCGTCAGCACCGGGGAGTACGGCTGATACAGACCTCCGTCGTCGTCGCTGCCGCTCCGACGCGAGGGCGAGCTCACGATGCTCGGCGGGCTGAGGCTGTCGCCTAACCGCCGACCGGTGCGCTCCCGACCCCGCTCCTCTTCACTCCTCCGCGAGCCTCTACCGCCACGCGCATCTCGGTCGCCACGTTCGCGCTCGCGACACCGCCCACTGGCGTACGCGCCGCCGTTGACGATGCCGATTGTGCTGCCAGTCGGGGAGATGCTGCCGATGGGCGAGTTCGCTCCTCTCCCCCTGCTGTGACTCCGGCTGCCCTCACGGTCCGAGAACGACGACGTGCGGGTGGACGAGCGCCCTCGCGAACCAGAGCGCGAATCGCTGGAGCGGTACGACGAAGAGCCCGTCGTCGTGCTGCCACTGACGCTGGGCGAGTGAGGCGTCCGACCGCGAGTGGGCATGCCATCAGAAGGAGAGAGAAGCTCGGAGTCCGCACATACACCCGTGCTCGGAGCGGAGGAAGAGAGGGAGTTCGGTGATGGAGATGCCGCAACATGGCCGTGGGCATGTGTGGGGTTGACACGAGGCACCGGGACGGCGGGGGTAGAGGGTATTGATGACGAGCCGTACGCAGACGAGGCCTGCTGCTCCGGTATCCGGTATCCTGCAGACGAGCGCGACGGGCTGCTCTCGCGAGAGCGCTCTTGCCGCTCCTCGACCGCGCCATTGACCTCGTTCACGACGACGACGGGCATGTCCGTGTCCGGCGTCTTGGGCGACTCGCTCGGACTGGGACTGGCGCGCCAGCTACTACTCCTCCCGGTCGTGACGCTGGCAGCCCCGCCTTCTGCGTACCGCATGATCTCGCCGCCGCGATCGTCGTCGCGAACATCCCTCCTGCGGTGTCTCCGAGCGATGTGTGGACGATCGTCGCTGAAGTCCTCCCCGAGATCGGGACCACCGAAGTAGTCATACGCGTCCTCGATGGGCAGGTCGTCGATCTGCATCGGCGAGTCGATTATATGCTGAGTAGGGAAGAACGTCCCCGAGCTCGTCCGCCGCATTGACGACGCGCCCGGCTCTGACGGCATGCCAACACTCGGTATCCGAGGAGAGGAGCCAGGCGCGGGCGAGCGGGGAAGTGGTGACCGAGGATACGACGCCCCTGTTCCGACGCTGAAGTACGATTCGCGGTGGTGGTACACGTCCTCGTTGCTGCCCATGCTGGGAGTGCCGGGAGAGCTGTAGCTCGCAGTCGGGACGTAAACGAGATCCACGTCCTGCGGCGACTCGTAAGTCCTGCCTTCCGGCAACGTGCCCAGCTCATTGCCGACGCCCGTGCTCTTGAGTAATGTCGGAGCGATCGGGGCAATGGTGACACGTTCCCGATCCGTGGAAGAGCGACGAACCATAGGAGGTCTGGGACGGGACCCAGTCGCTTCAGGACTCAAGGGTGTTGGCAGCGATGGTTTCCGCATTGACGACGCCGAGTTGGAGCGAGAGCGAGATGACGCCGTTCGCATCTCGAGGACATCGTCGTCATCGTCTTCTTCCGAGTCTGATCCAACCGCATGGTCGTTGTAGTAGTACACCGACGCCGGCTCGTCGTACTCCCCATCGTACCCGGTTTCCGAATCGTACCTGAGACGGATAAGGCAATCAGCTGTAGATCACCCATCAGCCAGAAAGACATGAAGACTAACCCGTCATCATACGCATCGAACATCCTGCCGCCACGCGTAGGACCGGTCGGGGAGCGCTTGAGCTTAGGCTTCTCGATCGCGATACACTGTTCCACGAAGGTGTTGAATGAGATGTGCTTCTTCTTCGCGGGGCCGTCGGGACCATGACTCGAGCTACCAGACAGGTCCTGGTCGCTGCCTGTCGAGCCGGAGGCTTCGCTGGACGCCGTCGTCGGCAGCCCCGGACGTGTCGGTTCGTGATGTGATACCGCAGAGTCCTCGGCTATGATTCGAGGGGGCGAATCTTTGCGGAATGGTCGGCCGCGCATGCTGATGTGGGTGTCGCTCTTTGTGTGCACAAGGGGAGGGCGAGCGGGGGAATGAGTGCCGTCTCCGTGACAGTCCTCTTCTTCGTCGTCACTGTCGTCATGATGGAAGAACGGGCTCGCAGGGAGGGAGAGGAGCTGACTGATACTGCGTCGCTTGAGGATAGGCTTCTTCGGCGCGGGAGAGGGGGAGCTGTTGCTCTTGTAGGAGGGAAGCTCATCGTGGCTCGTCTTGCGATGAAGCTTCGGAACTTTGTGTTGCGAGTAATCGGTCCAATCGTGACCGATGTGGAGGGGGCCATACAGCCATGTCACGTCAGAGTCCTTGAGCCTGCAGTGGCGAATGTGTCAGAGCAGGCCACTCAAAGAGGATGCGCTGCGCCGCGCCAGAGCGGCGAGGAGCCTTATCGCGTCCATACGCTTCACGCATGTTGGAGGCGCGCGACACGAGGAACATGAAAGGATGCAGGGCTATAAAGGACGTACCAGTTGA